TTTAGCTCATCTATATATAGAAGTAGAAATTTTTGTTTGTACATTAAAAATTAAAAAAATTAATTCGCCATGTTTTTATTTCTACAATAAATTTAAGATTTATTAGTTTCTTATTGACTCTCTTTATTAATGAAGTTGATAAAATATTTATATTTGAGCTTTTATCTTCCTCATAACCCTTGCCAACAAAAGATGATATTGTTGTTGATTTTCTTTTAACTAAATTGTTTATTTTTCTTAATATTGTGATGAAGGAGTTTATGATGTCCCAATATTATTTTGTTGTTCTTGTAAATCTTCAATTTGATTATTTATTTCGACAGTAAAAGATGTCTTATTATTATTAATACCATTTGATAATAGTTCATCAAAATAATTAATCCAAGATGCTGTTTGATTCAATCAATAGTGTTTCATTTCCAAAATCTTTTAACAATAGCCCACTCCATAATATTTCAATTTCACATACAACAATACCTAATTATCAACAAAATCTTTTAATATAGTGAACCTTCAGATTGAGAGTCCATTTTTTCCTTGTTTCATTTAAAATATTTGATTTTTTGAATTCAGTTAGTAAAGCTGTACCAGCCAGCTGTCACAAAAAAAACAGTATAGCATTCAAAAAATGGATAATAATAGTAATATTCAACAACAACAACAACAACAACAATTTCTTATTGAATATATTGCCAGTAGTCTAAAGCAAACAATACATGGTTCACATATATATATTATTTTCGTTTTGTCTACAAAGCAATTTTAACAATAAAAGTAAAAAACAATCAGCAGCAACAGCGAAAATCAAGAATAAAATGACAACAACTACTAACAATGACAATGACGGTGATGATAAAAATAAGATAACAACAAGTCAATTTCATAAAAAATTATTAATACTAGTTGCAGAAGAATTTGCAAGTACAGGAAAAAAAGTTTTTGTTAATGGTATGGAAGTGTATGAATATTATAACTTGGATAAAGATTTGATGACAATTTATATATCAAAAGTTGATACAACTGGTTCACGTCCTTACCCTTCTTCCT